TGTGGTACTGCTACTGCTACTGCTACTGCTACTGCTACTGCTACTGCTACTGCTACTGCTACTGCTACTGCTATGCTACCACCACCGCTACTGCTCTGATTCGTACTCTTGATGCTATTCAAGCCACTATAGTTGTTAAGGTAGTTCGAACGGATCTGGGCCCCGAGCTTTCAGGCCCGATCAGGAATGCCGGCGGGTAGTGGAGCTTGCTTTGGTGGAGGCGGGGGTTTAAAGTTGAGGGCTTGGGGGTTTGGGGTCTTGGGTCGGTTTGGGGTTTGGGGTCCAGGGTTGGTTAGGTTTAGGGTCTAAGTCTAGGGTCTGGGCTCCTTTGCCTGAATACCCCCAGGCCCGGCTACGCTAAGTTCCCCTAAACCCTGTAACCTCCTTTGTTTCTCCTTGTGTGCGACTTTCGGTTCCAAGCTCTTTCGCAAAGACGTGTCACCTCGATGAAGGCTACGAGTTGCCCTGGAGCAAAAAAGCCGCCCTTCTTCAAGAATGTCTTGGATTCGGAGTAGACTCCTCTTCAGAAAGTTAACCCTCAACCAAAAACCGGTGCACTTTCTTGGAGTTCTGCCATGATCTGCCTTTGGCCTTGGAAGGTCAGCTGCAGCCGGTTGGCATGCTCGCTGAAGCAGGCTTCGCCCTTGCAGGTATCAGGCTATAAGATTAGGGGGTTTATGCACCTATAGGGAATACAAAGGTACCACAGCACGGTAAGAGTACTGTTTGGCGTCGCCCTTGCAGCCTCATGCCGTAGGGAGCGGAGATAATGTCTTGAAAATGATACCAGCAACAGAACCAAGCTCAACACCAGCACGAAGACTTGCTATAGTATAGAAGCCAAAATAATTACCAATATTATTCCTGATGGTTCCTGATTAAAACTGTACTATAAAGGGCCTCCAAACCCTTTCTAACTAGGGCCCCTACATTACGCGACCGCAGGATCCCTAAACAAGGCTCTCGACACCCCTAAGTTACCCCGTAAGTAAGTGTGAGTCGCTCCGAGCCGTGGAGGCAGATGAAGCGGCGGTGGTCGAAGGTCCTGCGGTTATCACCATACGGGGGTTTCCGAAAATAGGGGACCCTAATATAGTACCCTAAATAATAGGATCCCTATTATAAGGACCCCCAAATAAGGTACCCTAATTTTCGGAAACTCCCAATACAGTTCACGGTCTAAGGCTTGGAGCAAATGCTTCTGGTATGGGGTTTCAGTTCGAGGGCTCCTTTCATCTATGGAGTCATCTCTGGTGATGATGATGTTGGTGATAACGCTGACGGGTATCTCAGTGATGTAGGATACTACGGGCGAGAAAAGGCTATCTGTGATCGGTGTCTAAGACTCAAACTGTTTTACACGAACGCCACCACCCCCCGTTCGTGCACAGAGGTGCCCTTTCCCAAGGTTCGAGTGGCTGTTTACATGGCTACTATAAGTTGAGTCGAGAGGGGTGCTGGGGGTGCAGTTGGGGTCGTTTTACTGAAGGCCCTCCCTCTTAACGCAGGGAGCCGTCGAAATGCATTTCTTGATGAGGCGATCCTGGCCCAAAAGGGAACCTACCCCGTATTTATCTGCATCCTTTATAAAAAGAGCCCGCATAACAGTTTGAAAAGCTCCAGCAAGATGTAACTTCCCCGATTAGCCAGCAATTTGCAATTCAACAGAAGACCACGAAATACGAGCCGAACACCACATCAGAAGATAACCCCAGCGCTAACGACAAGGTGCGAAACAAGGCGATACTGATCTTGGTTGTTTTTTCTTGGTTGTGGTTCCATTCGGACCCCAGCTACGAAACTGCTTCTGTGTGTCGCATGTCAACACACGGCCTGCTATCGATGCTTCTTGCAGTATGCAACTTGATAACGGGGGGGTCAGTACGGGTCTGTGGTTCCGTCGATACAATTGCCGCTGTTGAAGTTGTGTCGAATCATTCCTTATCCCATTCATTCGGCCCATGCTATCTAGGACATTTCATAGTTCCAGGATCGACAGCAATGCTGGTAGCATTCCTTTTGCCGTTCTACAAGCGTCAACCCACAGTTGTATGGTCCCACGTTTCGACTGAGGTCAGCTTTCAGCCTTGAAGCCCTTTAGTGCCGAAGCCATCGCCTTCGCATATCGGGCATCATCAACTGAAGACAGCGAAAAACCCAAAGGTTCCAAGTACTAGTATGGTATATACTTTTGGGGCCCAAATACCTTCTAAGTACCTACTATAATGGTACTTGGACCCTTTGGGAAAGTGAAAGATTCTTCGTGGCTGCGCAGCTTACGCAGGACCGACCCGCTCCTGGCCATTCCGGGGCTTGGCAAAAGCGACGCGGTGAAATCAAAATCAAGGGATGCCATTCACTGTATGTGGTTTCTAGTGCTTGGTTTCTGAGCTGAGGAGTTGTACGGCTACGGATATAAGATCTGAGCAGATCCCCACATAAAAGCAGTGAGACAGAGCCAGGAGCGGACACTGTAGGGGTCGGAATAAATGCTAGTCATATTCCCCTAAACCTAAAAGTCCCCGTATGAACAAACGCCGGATCCCTTTTCTTGTTGCTATGTGCCCTCATTATGCCGTTTTGATTTCCCTGGTTTCCCTCTGCGACTTGCTGACAATAGCCAGATGCTGAAGATCGGTTCAAGAAGTCGCTGTCTATCACCGCTACAGCCAACTGCAAGTTCGCAATCACTCTAGGTCTTTGCACTGTTGGGTAGCAAGCTCGTATAAAAAGCCACCTCAAGACAGCCATTGAACTTGAGATTGGGATTACAGCATCTACTGCAGCTATGGCATCGCAGGCCAGCAGACCTGTCATGTTGATTTGCCGAAGATTCATCAAGTCGACTGCAAAAGGCATCAAGGCCTGCACCCCAAAAGCTACCTGAAAGGTGCTGGTTCTAGCAGGCCCCTTTCCGGAATGGGAATGGCCGGGTTCCCGATAACACAACCCCCATTCCTTGCCCCTATGGGTCATTGCCACGCAAGAAGCGCAAGTCTGGATCAAAACCTGAACGGTTGCGGGAAAGACCCTTCAGCAATGGCCCTGCTCCTGAGGGGCAAACCCTGGTCCTTGAAACAGCGGCAGAAGGGCCTTCGTCGTACCCGGATGCGACACGTGGAGCAGGCAGTGTAGGTGGCAGAATCACTTGGTGGTCCAGGTTCGCACACGCACTGATCCACCGACTTTGGAAGTCCAGACCCATCATAATGGCTCCTTTCGGATTCCGCCAATTCCAAGAGAGCTCAAGCCAAGACAACCCGGAGGAAGCCGCCAAAGGTGTGGGCAGCGGAAGGACAGAGAGCTGACAGGTGAATTCGCGGTGATACTTACCCGACTTACCCACAGCCCACTGGTATATGATGTTGGTCCTGAAAGTGACGTGCAGACAACCTTGCATGGACGCTCGGGCATGCGTTGAAGACTCGACCATTTCTTGATCATATAAGTGGAATGGGGAACGGTGCGGCATAATGCTACATGCATTGTCATAGTTTTGTATGAGTATGTTGTGATTAACCTAATATGTGCAGGGCCTTCTGCACACAAGATCACACAAGCGTGCAATCTCTCTGTATTGCTGTTTCGTGATGCATGCAACAAATGAAACAGATGCATGCTTGTATGATGTATGTATAGATATCTGCAGGTAGGCGGGCAGGCAAGCAGGCAGACAGGCAGGTAGGTATGTGAACATATGTAATTATGCATGTACGTACGTATGTATGTATCTATGCATGCCAACATTGTTTTGATATGTTTTGATTGTTAAAGTTTCATTCAGTCAATCCTACGTTCATGTTCGCATGCAGGCATGCCGACATGCGTACACACCTGTGCACACATGCATACAGTGGCACGGAGGAGGGGACCGTCCACGGCGTTATACGGGGTACGGGGTCGTAATCATGACTTGATAAGGGCTTAGTAAGGTCTATTTCAGGAAGTCTAGCCCCTTACCCCTAGGAGTCCTCGTCGTGTTCGTTTGAGTGCGCAAAGTGCTCTTGCCATACTGGAGACCTCAGATTCTGGTGCTTGGTAACTTCAAACATCCGCCGTTCGTTCACATGGCGTAAATGCTTCGAAGAAGCCGGTCCTGTGACCCCGACTAGTTCGCGGCTTTAAGAAGATGTGTCCATAACTTCGAGCTTGCAACGTATGCTGCTTTCGCGGGCGCCAGGAGTGCAGGATTTCTATCGCAATGCATGACTGTGCCTTGGACGAGGCCAGCTGGACGGAAGGAATAGCTCTCGGTCGAATCTGACGAGTTTCGCTTCTTGCCTAAGCACGTACGTCTGGTCAGCTTGCGGGCAGCCGTATTGGAATGCCACTGCTGCCAGACACCACTCAAACAGCTCGAGCTTTCAGCTCTTGCAGCTTCCATTCTGGCAAACGACGACACTTTCCTGGAGCCAACGCGCTGAGGAGTAGATAGATGCAATGTATGACAACTACTCACTGCTGCTTGTGTTCTTACCGTCTATACTTCCTGAGATCATGTTCCATCGCTGAGTCCATCCTGCTGCGGTTCCTGAGCTGTCAGGCTCAAAGTTTGGGGCCCAGCTCTTGTGCTCTTCGCCGTCACTGCGGCCGCTGCGCGGAGCCCCAGAGTCAGGGCAGCTGCTGGCAGCTCTCTCCCATCTCTTCCTCGTCTGCAGTTTTGCTGCCAAGCCATGCGCATAGTTCATGTAATTCCCGCCCTGTGGCTCCCAGAGTCGACTCTGGGGCTGTCATGTCAGCTCTCTTGCTGTGTTTCGGGCGGCAAGGCGGTGACTCCAAGCTGGCCCGTATGGTTTTGGTACCATCCTGCTGCGATGCCTCTTTGCTGCACTTGTGCGTTAGGACATGCCTGAAGCCTCGAGATGCAGGCAGATACACTTTTGCAAAGCCTGAACTTGAACCTTTGTCGCATGTGGTCGGCTGTCGTGTGGCAAGGTCCATTAAGGTCCGAGATGGAGTTTTCCGGCTGTCACAGGCTAGGCTACGTAGGTCTTACGACACATCCTGGCACTGGACACAGGTTGACTCGAAGACGATAAGTCATCACTTGAATGACAGCTACTGTGTTTCAGACAAGGACGCTTCAGGAAAAATCGTTCATCTGAAGCCTTTTGCAAAAAAAGGGCAATTGACATACTCGGCAAGATCATGTCCGAGAATCGCAGCCCTGGTTACGAAGTCCACCTTTTTCAGTGTCAAGGGGTGAACGCAGAAGAAGTATCAGTAGCAGTAGCAAGGCTCGTGGGCTACGTGGCTTTGATGGGCAACGCGGTCCTCGTCAAGAAGATAGGTGGCGCGGTGCCCACATTCGTATGGAAGACAGCGGGGACTAAGGGCCGCCCCATGCAATGAGCGAAGGCTTCATCGATGTCCCATCATGGGCTCATGGGCTGTCCATCTCCGCATATCTGATGAGCGATTCGGAACATCTTCCGTTTCTGCTAAGCTAATGCCATGAGGCCACGAGCTTGCGGAGTAAATCCAAGACTCAGCTCGATTTTGCACGAACTCGGTGTTGACAAACAGGCACTGGAAAACTGAAGATCACCATGGATCATGTCGG